GAGCAAAGGCAGACAGAATGGCAGGCAGAGGCAGAGGGAGAAGCAGGTTCCCTGACGAGCAAGGAGCCCGATGTGGGACTCGATCCCAGGACGCTGGGATCATGACCTGAGCCGAAGGCAGCTGCCCAACCAACTGAGCCACCCAGGCGTCCCGACAGTTTCTTTTGTTTATTTAATTCATTTGGATATGTTCTCTCCCCAACAGAAAGAACCCTAGGGGAGTTTCACAAGTTCCCACAACAATCTCAGGAGTTTGAAACAAAGATGGTCGTGGGAAGCTTGTTCCGGGGAGTGTCATTAGAAACATACCCTGGGAGAGGAAATGGTTTTACCTTCCATCCTGGCAAAAACCAGAATTTCCCAGACCCATTCTTTTTTTTTTTTTTTTTTTTTTTAAGATTTATTTATTTGAGACTCTGCTCAAGAGAAAGCATGAGTGAGGTGGAGAGGGGTGGAGGAAGAGAGCAGCAAGTTTCCCACTGAGCAGGAATCCCAACTCGATACTCCATCCCAGGACCCTGAGATCATGACCTGAGCTGAAGGCAGATGCTCAATCGACCTGAGTCACCCAGATGCCCCTTCCCAGACCCCTTTTGTATACACAGAGGGAACCAGGAACAATCTCCCTACCATTCTTCCCACCAGTGTCCTTTGAATCAAGCCCAGAGAAGCTTCTTGGATCTAACTTAGTCCCCAAATGGTATGTGTTTAAAAGACACAATGTTTTGATAGAAATCATAGCTCCCCAAATACTGTTTTACTTGGAAATTAAGTTAAATCTCCTTTGAGGTCTTAACTGCATTGCTCCATTGTCCAACCTCAATTCCTCCCAAGACCCAAGAGGTGAAGAATCAATTTTGACAATTCTAGTTTTCATTATTTCCCCACACAGAACTTTGGAGAAACTGAAGGTCGCCTTGAACTTACAGACTGTCATACTAAAACATTTTTCTCAAGTCAAATTCTAGAGCAAGTTAGGAGAATCAGTCCCCTTATTTCTAAGTTTATGTTCTGACTACCTCTGGCATAATAGGCTTTAAGGATCTGAAAGGGCTTAGGAAATAAAATGAAGAAAAGTAAAACCTCTAGAATGGGACTCATGAAAATAGTCAAGTCTTGGCCTTGTACTCCTCAATTTATTCCAAAGGCTTCATTTAAAAAAAACAAAACAAAACCCCAGAATGACAGCAGGACCCATCTGAATTCTGGGTGGGACATAAGATATATGTGGAGAAAAAAATCTAAGAACGAGTTGAGCAAAGAATCCTTAAAGTGAGGTGTAATGCAACTTCATCACTTTATTCAAATCTTCAAAATAGTCTTTATTCTACATTTTTAGTATAAAAAATCCACAAGTTAAGTGCACCACAGTGTAGAGAGAGACATACAACGCTGAACTTCCATAACAGTCAATGGTACAGTCAAACATCACATGGACAGAACACAAAATTTAGATGAACTGAAATTATAAATAAAATAAAATCCAATTTCAGAAAACAAAAATCAAAATATTAAGGATCCCTGAAATATTCTTAACCCTAATGAGATTTTACTGGACTCAAGTCATTTTGTAGTGAGGGACTCATAATATGACCCCATTAAACCGGCTGAGGAATTCTCGGGAGCCATGAAGGCCTACATGAGATACTCTGACAATGAACGGTAACCAGTTTTTGGGTGGGAAAACTTCCCCTAATTAGGCTCTAATGTCATCAGGCTTTTGAAATGCATCCTCCTCCTTGCCCCCACATTTTTAAACAAACCTGTTTATAGTTTGCATTGATACCCTTGGTTCAAATAGAGCTCTGTTTTTCTGGCACCGAAGCAAATTGGAGTTTGGTTCACAGACAAAGAAACAACCTGTAAGGAGGGTCCGAGGGGCACCCTTCACTTTTGCCTGAGGAGATGCAAAAGCAGAAGTAATGGGGCCTGTGCTTGGGGCACAGAGGGGGTTTGAGAGGATCCTTGTAAAAGACTAGTTAAAAGATGGCAAGTGGGGACAAGTGCAAGGAGAGAAGGAAGTTAGTCTGACTGGCTTTCTGTCCTGCACCATTGATTCAATGGAGATTGGCGGGAAGGAACTGGAAGACTAGGGGTGAGGGTGGGCCATGGGGCAAAGGAGGGAAAGGCAGACAACTAATGCATTTCATTTATAACAAGTAATAGAAATCAAAGACTTAAAGGAGATTAAAGACCAATCAGAATAATTTGGCAACTTTAATTCTTAGGAAGATCAAAGTTCCCTCCAAACCTAATTTGATGTTTTATTACTAAGAGCGAAGACCAGTATGGTACAGTAGTACTCCAGAGGAATTAAAGGAAGATCCTCAGGGCTGCTTTACCCACATTCATTTTATGAATGGATGCCTCCCCTACCTCAAAATGCTTTAAGGAGGTACTGCTACCATAACATGGTTCCTTATTAAGTTTGAAAAGTGCCTGAAAGTTTGGGCACCAGAAAGACACCCCAACAACATGTGTCTAAACTGCAACTTCAGGTTAATATGACTAAAGCAGTTACTTTGTGAGAAGTGCTTAAGGTATGTGATGTCTTTCCCGGCACGGAGGTGGCCTTAGTTCTTCACCAGATGGTGTAGCCACCATCTGAGCCACCCATGAAGAAGTTTCCCTTCTGCTGAGTTACGAGGACATTGGCTCCCTGCATGACTGCAAGCTGAGCGGCGTTGGGAGGGCATCCAGGGGGTGGAGGCTGAAAGGAAAAGACAAGGTTGACTGGGCATAGTGCAGCTGAGACAAGGGAAGTGGACACGGGGACAACACGATCCATCAGGAAGATGGCAGTGTGCTCACCAATCGCATTGTTAAGCTAGTTCTGCCACCAATTTGGGTTGTAAAGCAGGTCTGTATTCTCTGTGAACCCAAAGATACAAACAGGAAAGAGAGGGCCTACCACTCATTCAAAGGCATTCTCATCTCATTTCAGGTATACGGTTTTGAGCAGATGGCCCTAGCAAGGACCCTTTGGGCTCCAAATCTTATACATGGGGGAACTAAGCAGGAAAACAGAACTAAAATCTCTAGTATCTCTCCAAACGCTACTTCATAAGGATTGTGCTTTTCTCCATTTAATGATCATGTTTCCTGACGGAATGCCATGCTGATGGCACAAGTGAAGTCAATGCTTTAAATGCTCGTGGAATAAATAAGGATTCCTAGACCAGTACCAAACTGACACTGAAAAGGCAGCAGGCAAGACTCCTAAGATAGGAAAACAAAGGAATCTGGTTAACTCAGACCCCAGGGAATGTGCCAGATGCTGCTGACTTGCCACAGATCTCCTGCCCCCTCTCAACTTGCTTTCTGCCTGACTACTGGGTATCAGTGTTACACCAATACCACAGCAGCTGTTACCCAGGGACAGTGAAAGGATGACTACATAATCTCTTCCGGGAAGTGAAAATACACAAGAGCTGAGTGTTTCCGGTAAGGTCATACTCACAGGAATGTTGCCAGCAGTAGCCCCAGCTCCAAATCTGGCACCTGCATCATACCCTCCTTCCACCAGCACGGCTGAACCAGGTGGATAGATTGGACCAACTGGGTAATAAGCCATAGGGATTGTGGAACCTAAAGGTCCAACAGCCACAGACTGGGCCATGGGAAGATACAGTGAGGCGCCAGGAAATGCAGCAGACATGGTGGGGACTGTGGCGGCCCCGGGGTGCACGAAGCTTGGACGATAGAGCTAGAAGAGGTAGAAGAGAAGGGAACAGGTTACTTTTAAGACATTCCAATTTTAGATCCCTTTCCTGAGTCCATTCTTAACTCTCCTTATGCAGATTACACCGTTGAGTTCCACAAACTGCCTTTCCACTACCACTCGATATTCTCCTGGGTCACTTCCTGCTATAGCTAATGTTAGGCTCAAGGAACGCAAACTCATCTTCTTCACCTCAGCCTATGCCAGAAAACCTAAAATAATCAGAGAATGCATTATCAACCCCGACAGAAATTGCTGAAGTACACAGTGTTTCAGATTAGTCATGTGAGCACGCTCTCCTCTTTGTGGAGAGTAAATAAAAATGTGGGGACAGATTCAACTAAGGGCTGAAAATGTGATCCAAGTTCAAGTCTAGTAAACTGGAAGCACCTCGGAGTAGGCAGGTGGAGCATCAGTATAGGGTGGAGCCTGAGGAAGATGCAAGGTCTGAGGGTACACGGGATTCCCAGGAGGCTGCACAGGGTAGGTTGGCTGCGTTGGATATTGACCTGGAAGATAAGACAAAAATGCACATCGCCTACCATACAGAGCCACCAGAATGGAACATACTGGGTAGCTAACCTAGTGACAGCAAGCCCATTTGGAAACTGACTGCTCTGGAGGGCCCGATTTCTGGGGCCAAGAAAATAAGCATTCTCTTTGCTCCTTTATCCCCACTTATGCCCGAAGATGTTGGATTCTAACTGGACAGAAAGGGAGCTCTTTCCATTAGCATACTGGTGTAAGGTAATAGCCTGGACCCAAGTTTCTCCATCCATGCATGGTAGGTCTGGGCACCCATTCCTGACAATGTACCAACGGTAGATACATCCTGCCTCTGCCCTGGGTGGTCTTCACAAGCCTGGCTGTAACTGCCCAAGACTTAGTTGAGTCACAGTAGTTACGATTATTTGCCCCATAGATTCCTGCTCAAGGTCGA